GTTGAGCGGTTTGAATACTAAGTGTCTAGGTTTGGGTTGTTTGCTGCTGTTTGCGCGGGCTTCTCTGATTACTGGTCTGGTGTCTCTCATTACTCTTAGAAAAGTCTCGATGATCATCTTTTCAAGTATTTCTTCTGCCCACTCTATTTTTCCTCCTTCTGGCACTTTGCTTACATGTATGCTAACGTGCCTGGTATTGTTCACAGCCCCTGGGCCTCCCATATGAGATTTAAAAAATCATAACACCTAGTATTTACCTTGAAAATACATTTCCATTTCCGAAGAAGACAGGAAGAATGCGCAGTGACAACAGCTGGAGAGCATGTGTGGAATAAGTGGAGACAGCAAGAACATGAAGAACAGCGTGCGGCTCTCAGCTCCAGGGACGAAAACAAAAGTTCTCGGCCCACAGGGGTGCACAGGCACAGGAGGCCCTGGATGGCTGAGGCAGGAACAGTCTCCCCAAACCCTCCATCCTCCTCCCCCATTCCGCTGTCCCTTAGAGTCTTGAAGGACCCCCTCAGTGACTCAGGGCCCAGAAGACTTGCTGAGGGCGCTAAAGGGATTAACCGCGACAGTTCCGAAGCATGAGTCACAGAACCCAGGAGCCCGAGGAGAAAGCACTTCCAAAGCCTGAGCCCACCTGGACCCTCCCTGGCCTCCACAGATGTGTGCGGGCTGCTCCCCTCCGCACGGAGCAGGGGTGACCCTGGGGCACCTGCACACAGCTCCCCGTTTCCCTGAGGGAGCCCTGGGGATGCCTCCGCCCACTTCCCTTTGGAAAGGCGTGAAGCGTCAGTGCTGGAAAATGGAGACTGTTCCTCTAGGCGTGTTTACATTGATGTGTGGTAATAAGCAAGGCCGCTTTCCAGTTGGACACGTTTATTTTCAATCTGTACAGACAGCTGAAAGTGGAACTGGACAACATGGAAAGTGAACCGAAGCCTTGCCAAGTTGATCAGTGTTCCGGGTTGTCTGTGCCATTAGAGCTGTGTCTGAAATTACGGGATTTTGTGGGAATGAACATGTGGACTCTCCCTTCAGCTCCTGCACCCAGTGCCCGTGTTGCCTGATGCCCTAAAGGTTTAAGGTCCCTCCCGGTTCCAGCGTCTCCGGCTGGCGCCCAAGAACGGCCAGTAGATCAGGACGTTGAGCAGGATGAGCAGGCCCAACCAGCCGGCCCAGAACAGCGTCCTCCAGGGCCAGGGCCCGGCAGCCAGGCAGCGCTCCCAGGGGCTCTTCATGTGCTCTGCCACGCGCAGGGCCACCCTGTGGAGATGCTTCTCTGGGGTCGCGAGGCCCGCGTTCGCCGCCACGAGGTACACGGAGTTGGTGTGGGGTTCGTCCTCGTGGGGCTCCACCAGGCCCTCCAGCAGCGCCAGCAGCCCCTGGCGCTGCGCCTCCTGCTCAGCGCCCGCCGCGCCGTAGTCCAGGGCGCACGCGCGCTCCCCGCACTCGGCCAGCAGCTCCTGCAGCGCGCGCGGGCCGTTGCGGCGCACGTACTGCAGCAGCGAGCCCCCCTCCAGGACCTCCTTGTGCGTGAAGACCACGACGGTGCGCGCCGCCGCGCCGGGCCCGAACATGGCCTTGACCCGCCGCCAGGCCTGCTGTTCCTGGGGCGTGAAGCGGCCGAGCCGGCACACCAGGACGAGCGCGTGCGGCCCCGGGACCGACAGCAGGAAGCAGCGGCCCCGCTCCAACCAGCGTGGGTCGCTCGGGGGCACGTCGGCGCCGAACAGGTCTGGGGTGTCCACGACGTCCAGGTGCCAGCGGCCCCACCGGCCCTTGCCCACGCGGCAGGCCGTGGTGACCGCGCAGCCCCCCAGCCGGGGCTCGAAACAGCGCTGGCGCAGGATGCTATTGCCCGTGGCGCTCTTCCCGGCGCCCGATCTCCCCACCAGGATGAGCCTCAGCCGGGGCTCCCGCGGGGTCAGCGGGGCGTCTTCTGCGCCTTGGGGGGGGGCGGGGGGAACGGGGGCGCGCTGTGAGCCGCAGAGGCGCCGCTGCTCCCAGGCAGCTGGGCCCGGCGCCTCGTAAGCAGGAGCTCAGGGCCCGCCCGCAGTTGAAACCCCACCGTTAAGGAACCCAAAGGCTGGGCTCTGGGCTGGAGACCCGCGTGTCCAGGGCACCCTGTTCCTCCGTGGGTGCAGCACCTCCTGGCCCTGTTGGCTGGGGAACGTGGCTCTGAGGCTCCCTGCGTAATTCCGGCGCTGGGTTCCCTGGTCTGGCCTCCCCACCCTGCAGAGCGGACCCCACCCACAATCCCTGCTCGCACCCCCTCTTCCAGAGGCTCCCAGGAAGAGCGGGTGTGGGCTCCCTGGAACCAGACATCTGGTTCAAGCCCCAGCCGTGGAGTCTTGGGGTGTTCTTCATCATTCTTCAACCCCCAGAAGGGGAACAGTGGCCTCGGATCTTGGAGGGCTGTTGAGAGGCTGGGGGGGGGGTGGCCTCTCCCCCTCCTTCCCTCCCTCTCACTCGCCTCCTTCACCTCTTAAACCAGCTGCCTAATGAGGTAACTGATGTGATCCCCCCTTCCTGTTCTCTGCCTGGGAAATCATGTCCCCCAGCCCCTGGCTTGATGCCCTGTCCCTCGGAGGTCAGAGGCCACCATCCTCAGCTTACACTTGGGGAACGGGGTACGCTCTCGCCAAAGAACTTAACAGCTCCCAGCAGGGCGGAGGCAGGAGTCCAGCTCCCATGCGAACCTTGGGGACCCTGTTGGCTCACAGAGCTGGGGCCGAGGGACTGGGCTGGGCTGGGCAGAGGTCAGCCTTGACTCAGCCCCTCCCCCAACTCCCCAGAGCCCATGGCGGGACTCAGAGGAGTGGGGGGCGCCGCTCTTAGGAGTGGGGGAGCCCTAAGAGTGGGGGGAGCCGCTCTCACCGTAGGCGCTTCCCTCATCTCTTGCCGCCTTCGGTCTTCCCATGCTCAGCTGAAGGAGCGCCACGCACAGAGTGGTCACTCAGTCATTCATTATTAACCATGAGTGGGTGGGACAAGGGCGGGGTTCAGGCTCCCCAGCTCTAGTGACAAGAAGCCACACCCCACTGTCCCTGCTGTCTAGGAGACTTTGGATCCAGGGAAGGGCCCTGGGGTGCCTGGCTGGGTCGGCCTGGCCCTGGGGGTGCTTGGTGAGCTTGGCGTTGTCCTTTCAGGGACAAAGTGCAGAAGGCACTTGGGGGGGTCATGGCGTTGTCCTACATCAGTAGCTTTAGGTCCCATGCGAGTCCGGCATCAGCAGCACGCGCTGCAGCTACTGGGTGACTGGCTGCTTTTAGGGTCCCTGAGCTCTGATCCTCATGCATCTCCCACCTTCCTGAGGACCCTGCTGCGTGCACAGGGCCCGCTGTAGCCCGTTCACGGGCGGGTACGGACCCACACCCCGCCCTGGTCCAGCAGGAAAATTCAGTCCTCTGGGCGGGAGTGAGGGCAGCTGAAAGGGGCTGAAGACCGAGTTCTGCCATCAGGGTTGCTTGCACCCCAGATAGTGTCAGGGGCAGGGCTGGGGGCGGGCTCAGAACCTGCACCTCTGCCACCTTTTAGCTCGCCCTTGGGGTCAGCTGCAGTGGGTCACAGAGGTGGCTTTGTCGTCTCGGGATTTGTCACTTGGGCGTCATGGTCAATGCCTTTGAAATGGGCCATGTCCCGGGGAGTGACTCTCAGACTGTGGTAAGGGAGGACGAACACAGGGCTCCGCCCCACCAGGCCTGCGAGGCCTGCAGGCTGGAGAACAGGGGCCTCAGGCTTCCCCTGTACCTCCTCTCCTTGGACCCCGGACCTTCTGAGGACCTGGAAGCAGGCCCAGCCCCCTCCCGGCAGCTCCCTCGCCCCCTGGGATCACCTTTCCTGGGACAGGCCCCTGGAATCCCGGCCCCCCTGCTTCCCTGGCGTGAGCACTCACGAAGCCCAGGGAGGAGCTCCCCTGTGGCGACTTAAAGAGACAGAGGCATGTTCCAGGGACTCTGGTGGCAGTGGTTCCATCATGGACTCTGACACCTGATGACCTGCTGTACCCGGGAAGGGGTGGGGTGCTCAGGCCCTGAGGCTCAGCCCAGCTCTGCATCTGGTTACTAATCTGACCTCCACGGCTTGTCACCTCTCGGGGCCTTTTCCTATAAAATAGGTGCAGAGAGCCTTCTGCTCCAAAGAACATGAGGGCCGCTGCCCACGGCTGACCACTGATTGGTGTCCCTGTGGCCAGTGCGACCGGGGTCCCCTCTGGTAGAGCAATCTGGCGCAGAACCACCTCCCCAGGGTGGGGGGACAGTCCCAGCCCTGAGGGGGCCCCAGCACCCTCCTATACAGGTGTGTCAGGCTGTGTCCAGTCTCCCGTGGGGCCTCTGCAGGTCCAGCATTCTCTCTCAGAGGGTAATGAGAGTGTGGCCAGCTGAGGGGCCACTGTGTGGTGAGCCGGGTCAAGGCTGGCGGGACCGGCCGGTCTCTCACCAGCTGCACCCCTCCTCGCTGACAGTCCCCAGGGCGGCTGCTCTGGCTGGCCCCTGGCCAGCCCCGCTTTGTCTTCTCCATGTCGCCCACTGCCCCCTCCCCTGTGCTTTCGTGGGGTCCCGTCCCTCGTCCCTCGGTAACAGACTCGCTGCTTCCCCTCAGCGCTGCGGCGGGCGCCTCCCTGCCTCAGGGGCATCAGCAGGTCTGATCGCTGTGCAAACCAGGACACCAGCTTGAGGCGGGTCTCACGCCCAGGGGCTCTCAGATGCCCGGTCTGCTGGTGAGCGGGCCGGTGTTTCCACAGGGAGGTGTCTGTGCCTCCTTGCTGGTCTCAGCCTGCACCGGCCACCGGGGTCAGCTTTGGCTTAGCCTGAGGGGCCTGCAGATGCTCCCCGCCTCTTCATCGGTGCCTCGCCACTCATGCTTCCTGCACAGCCCGGCGGTGTCGGCGCCAGCCCTGGGCTGCTCCACCTGGAGGTTTATCTGGAGACAGAGACATGCTTGGCTCATGCGTAAGACAGTCTGGGGTCGTCAGAGAGCTGATGTCCTCAGGGGCAGACGCCGTTAATGACTAAGCACCCAGTTTCCTTATGTTAAGTCGTCCCCTGCCCATCAAACCAGCTAAGTCTCAGGCTTATTTTACACAAATTGTGTGGTCCCCTCTGGCTGAGGCCTGCTTGCCTACCACAGCAGCCCACCCTCCTTGTCTACACCGGCTCCTCTTCCTTGCTGTCTAACAGCTCATTGTGCAAGCCGGGCTGTGCTTTCTCTTCCCGGTCTCCCCAGTCCCTCCTGCTTCCCGGAATTATCATCCTATCCCAAAGTTAGTGTCTCTCTCCATTTTCATCAAGATTCCTATCAGTGTCACGCTATTTCTCACGGTTTTGTCCTTGACCCTCTGCTGCTCACTGACTTGCCATGACTGTGGCGGCCTCACCCGAGACGCAGATCCGCGTCCACGAGCCGTGTGGGCTCAGAGCTGTGCGCGCTCCTGCTCTCTCTCGTCCCTCCTTTGACACATCCTGTCTACCTTTGAGTATCTGCCTATTTATTGTTTTCTTCTTTATTCTTATATGGTCAGTAAAACAACCTGGAAAGTGTTGAATTCATGAATTTCAAAGGAAACATCCTGCCCAACAAATCTTCACTACTAAGAAGTGCCAACCTCATGGGGCCATTCTTCAGCCTCGATGCCACCTTTTCTTTTCTTGACCAGACTCAGGGCCACAAAGGAACAAAACGATTCAAATACCCATTAGGAGAAGAGGCTATACGGAAATCCTTCCTCCTGTGCAATAGGAACTCGTTAAAGGACGTCCATGCCCCTGTGCCCCAGCGTTCAGGACTGTTCCAGGGTCCACATGGAACCCGTTAAGCTTTCTGAGGAGCAGGGAGGGCAGTGTCCAGGTACAGTGTCCCCAGCAGCAGCCAAGCAGGCAGACCCACGTGCAGTTTCATGAGACGGCCAGGGCGAACGTCCTTCTGCGGCATGGGACTTAAAAGGATTCCGAAGTTCATAAACCAAAGATATGTCAGGAGGCTGAGTGCTCCGTATTCCAATATTTTGTTCAATGGGACCATGAAGAAATAAAATAAAAATGCTGAGTGAGAGAGAATCAAATGTTACCATAAACATAATTATGTGCAAAGCAAGGATGACTTTGAGTTAGGAAAAGATCAGGAGGAAAGGCAAACGCATGGGGAAAATCCATGAGAGGGTGTGTGTAGAGAAAATCACAAAGAAGAAAGAACAGAACCCCAAGACCTCTACAATTCTCAGTCAAAAAGAAAGGATGGTAGATGGTAGATGAGGGGAGCACTAACTGAAAAGCGTGTCGCTGCTAAAGACAAGCTGAAGAAAATTTAAAGACGAATAAAAATCTTGTCTCTGGTTAACTCGAAAAGGGGCCTAAAACACTGAAAAGAAGAACCAGACAGCACACAACCATCTCGATATTTCTCAAACAGGGGTGGATGCGAGGGGGCACTGAAGAAATGAATCTCAAGAGAAAAGGGCCCTTTCTAGATCACAGAGAGTTGAGGTGCCTGTCATACTTGGCAGAGATGGTCATTCTGGCTGTAAGCATTCGAGGTGTCGGCCCACTAGGAAATACACACTTTGCAGAGTGAAGGAGAGTGGGGATGATGATCTGACAAGGTGAGCTGTCCAAATAGACTGGAGGCTGTCTGATCCCAAGGGCACAACCAAATGCCTGACTTGACATCTCCTTCCCTTCTCATCCCAATTTATTTTTCTTTAAGAAAACACAGTGGAGAATGATCAAGAAAACAGAGGAAGTATCCACATGTTAGTACTAGGCCCTGTGTGGAAATAAAACCACTTTTTATGAGAACCTGCCACCCCCCTCCCCCATTCAGATGTTGACTAGATAGAGAGCTGACATGGTTGTAAAGGAGGCTCTGGTGTGTCCCCTAATTGGGAAATGAACTCAGCCTACCCAAGTGGTGACTCGTTCTCACGTCAGCTCAAATTCTGGAGCTAACGATGTGATCACTGTAACTACCAGACAGATAAATTAACTAAACAAGCCAGGGTAAACTTAAGCTTCAGGCTTCAGCTTTATTGTCATAAATACTGATAAGGGAAAATATTATTGAACAAATAAATACAATAACGTCCCACCAGGTGCGTGCTTTTAGGCCTCGGCCATCAAACATTCCAAGGCAGGCATGGTGAGTGAGTTTGCTCACTCAGATTCCCCTGCGGAAGGGTCTCAGCACGCTGCATTCAGACATTCCCCAGGGGCAGCCTCCAATTAGTGGATCCTCTCACTCCCTGGTTATGTGGAGCACACTTGCTGTTGTAAAGCAGTCCACCAAGGTAGCAAATGTAGAGAGAGTTGTGCATGACCCTCAGTCTACAGATGGTGCACAGGTCCCATGTCTGGGTCTGCACACACGTCTAGTTTCAGCTTTTCCTGACCTCACCGATCCTGAGGTATCGCTCTCCTTTTCACTGCTGAAGGTAAACCCAGATTTCCACTATAATACAATACCGATTTATATGATATATGAAGAATCAGGAAAACATGACTATAAGGTTAAACAGTTAGTAGAAGTAGAACAACAGATAACTTGTTTATTAGAATCATCAGTGAAGACTTTACAACAGCAGTTCTCAGAGTCAGCCCTTCAACCTGCCCACAAGCCGGGGCTGAGTCAGCTCAGCCTCGGGTCCCTCCCCCTGGAAGCTGAGACTCCAGGGGTAGATGTGCACTCTTTTTTAGGATATTGTTTGCTTTCTGCCTGGAATTTTCCTCACGTCCTAGCAACCCCATCAGCCATAAAGATTCTGATGACCTGTCCTCTACTTGCTTGCCCTGAACAGGACGATGCCTCAGAAAGTCCAGCCCCTCTAGTCCGAGGTTGGCCAGGGTGTTTCTGGGCTCTCTGGGTGGGGGTCAGGGGTAAACTCTGGCTGAGTTAGC